GAGGTGATGCAAGCGCACATATGTATCGACATGGGATGGGCGTAGGCGAGGGGAGGGGATGGAAGCTCTTGCCCCCCTCCCCGTCCCACCGGGAATCTCAACAACTGGCAATCACGCCTTGGCACCGTTTGAGTTGCCACAGCTTTGGAATTGGGCAGGGACCTACCTAATCTGTCAGTAACAAGCAAGCTGAGGAAGGTATCTAGGTATCTCCTCTTTCCTCAATTTGTGAATTGACAGGGTCTCAGTGCGGAAACAACAGAGACGGAGGTGCCTGCCTGACGTAGGTAGTATCTACCAACGTCGTAGTGACGCCCAAGGGTCCATAGAAAAGGACACAGCTGTAAAGACACGTAAGTGATCGATGATACTACCTAAGGTACCCTGGGTAATGTATGGTATTCGGAAGTATTCTGTGACTGGGATCTTTCTCTTCCGTTGGAAGCAATCCTTCGCGAAATATTCTCTCGGCTCACTTGTCAGTTTGAGCACGCGCAGGAAGCCTCCAACTAGCGCTGCCCCGCCTGCGACGCACTGGTCAGGCAGTCACCTAGACGAGGTACGAGCCCCACCACCAGCAATCCTGACGGCAGTTCTAAAATTCAAGATCCGCTTGGACTGATTTACGAAATCGTAAGTGATGAATACTGGGTTCCCTAGTTGGAAGCCCCATTTTCGGCTTCCTTTTGGTTTCTTTCGTTTCACGACCCTTGCCTGTGAGCGAACCTATCAGGGACGCCTGTGCCCCTCCTTGGTGGTGCTTCCGTCCCCCTACGTGCTTCATCTCTGCCGATTGACAGCTGCTTAATTGCGCCGGAACGTCCGATTGGAAGACATGCCAGAGCAAGGGTGTGCGATAAGTAGCGCGGGATGCAGACGTTCCGCGCGGGTGGGCTAGCCTGGGCCATGGAACGAACCCTTGGGGGGCGGCTACCGAAACAGCGGGTTTGTATTGGTCGTTCCTCGCAAGGGAACAAGACGAAGCGGAAATGTACGTTGATATGGATTATTTCAAGCTTCGACACAAACTGACGCTTACTCCATCTGATAGACCACCGGCGGGTAGCTTAATTGGCATCGGCCTCGTTATTCATTCAACCCGATGAGGTAATAATGCAGCGGCTACTTGCGCGGCCCACGGATCGATGATGCATGAGTTTCATACCGACCATGATCTCCATTTGGTGAATTTTTGATGGTGCATCCTGGGACTCCTTGAGCATGGCATTCTCATCTGGCAACAATGGAGAATGTGCAAAAAGCGGTCACCTGGAAGTGTTGACGAAGCGGTCAGGTACGAACCATGTCACTAATAACCTCAGTACGAGAGGGGCGTCGGTCGTCGACATCTTCAGGGACATGGGTTCATCTCAATCACATCCCTGGTTCTCCCCAGTGGGGACGGAGCGCACAAGCCCTGCACAAGCTTTCGCCTAGGTCACCATCGCCTTGCCTTTTCAGCCTCCGATACCAGTGCCGATGAACGGAACCGAGCAGAAATGAGCAGCTCTTTCAGCTGGGCTTATCAGCCTCGGCTCCAAACTTGGCGCAATTGGCAAATTACGTGGCTTGGACGTTTCTACTAGTTACCTGGTGTGAACCCACCAGCCACTGGCATGTGTTTATTGAGATTCTTCCTGTTATTCCATTGATGCTTCTAGACTAATGTGCATTTTTAGGATTAGGGCTCCTCCTAGTCACTCGCTGTGTCGAATTATACCCGTTCCCCACCTGAAACGGGGTACATGCAGGACTGTCTGTCACCACGCATTTTGGCATCACAGAGAGTTAGTCCGTCAATCTCCCCACAATATCAAACACAACGCCAGAGAGGATTCCGCCCAAAAACGGTTGGTTAAGAGAGAAAGCTGGTGCTGCCCAGTTGGCGCCTCCAACAAGGGAGGGGAGCGAGGCAAGTGGATGACAACTGCAATGTTCATGCATACAGGTAGCTCGCGAATGCATACTACGTGTTCCCAGTCCAAGAAGAAAGCCAACTGGCACATGTCTAACAGCTCTGGAGGGACTAGAAAGTTGCTCCTGGTAGACACCTCGTCGGACGTAGGCAACAACGCACCGTCTAAACATCAGCCGTCAAGAATAGGGGAAAGAAAGAAGCAGTTGCAGAAAGCTGCTACTTACAAGCCACTACGTGGTATGGATGTAGCACCAACAGTGAATTGCCTGTACAATTACGAGAGGCAGCGCATACCTTACACGCACGTACACGCGACCATGCATCTTGATATGCCGGAGCCGCAACTAGTACTGCATAGGACGTTGGAGTTAGGGTTGGTTGTCTTTGCGGATGTTCATTCCTGGCGGCACGGAGCTCCGAGTGCGCTGTTTCCATTCCGTCGGTGCCCGTTCTCGTACTGGCACGGCATTAATCACACCACTCGTCTCCATGGCCGCAACAGGTGGTGCCGTGCCCACCGCAATCTCCTCTATTACCGGCGCATGCCCAATAGCCAAGCAGGCGAATCAGTCGGCCGGTCCTTCGGTAGCATACGCCAACAGATTGATAGCCTCGCACCGAAGCTCAACCATGGCCCGGCGTGCAGGAGCGTGTGCATGCAGAGGCTAGGCACCGGATTTACACGCACACGTCTGTCCCTACACACGCGCTCTCACACACCCACCTTGCGCACCCAGTGATCGACCCATGCCGCCGCTGCTCTCGGACGTGTAGCCTGCTGCGGGCGGTCATCATAGGAGCGATTGGCTGCTTCATTATCTGGGCAAGGTATTGATCGATCGACAAGAACAGGAGAAGAGATTGAGCTATCCATTCAGCCGAGATGCATCCATGAAGGCGGACGTCTACGAGGACAGGGGATGTAGTAATTATCCCTCTCATTCTTTCTACAATTCGATGCTGCAACTCAATCTGCATCCTGCGCCGACTGGGTCATGCTCACGAGTCATCCCACCAAGGCTTGGACTCTTGCTCACGCTGCTACTTGCTGCCGCCGCCGCCGCTAATACGGCTGATGCCACTGGAGCTGGAGCTGATGCTGATGCTCACGCTACTCTTGTTGTTCGGCTACTTGCTCATGCCACTTTTTACATGGTCAATTCTGGGCGTCGCACGAGCAGCACATTAGTCCGGCCTGTCAATGCTAGCACTCCCACAATCCATCCACTATCCCTCAACGTCGTTCCACGGCATTCTCCACCATCAACCTACTAGGGCTGGCTGGCCGGGGCCATGATCGTGGATGTGGGTGGATGGATTTAGGTAGGAAGTGGTTATTAGTTGCCTACTACGGAACGGGCGGTTTTCGCAAATGGAGCCAGGCAACTTGCGCACTACCTACCGTTGTGGCTATCCATCCTATTCCATGCGAGCGAGGCCATCCTGGTTTCAGAGAGCCCCAGTGAAGGCGCTAGAGCCCATTCAACGCGCCGTATTTCCTTGTCTATATCGCCGGCCATTTCCCTCGTTCCGCCCGATCGAGAATTGAGGCCTCATTGTTCTATTCCTGCGCGCCTGGGGCCCGCCATGAGGGGGGAAAAAGAGCGGTCGTGTCTGTGCAGACGACCTGGTTTGGCTGCCGTTCAGGCTCTCCGTAAGCCCCAGTCGAAGGTCAGGGCTGCATCGAAGATCCCAGCGATGGGGCCGGTTGTCAGCACACATGCAATTCTCAAGTCTCTCACGCTTGTCCCCATTGCTGTGCGTGCAGCAGGGCCAACGCGCGGACAATGTGCAGCAGTACGAGCTACTTGGCTGCATGTATACAGGCGGCAGCGCCACATGAACTGAGAAGATAGAGTAATCACATTATTCAGACAACTGACATGACGGGCAACCAGGAAGGGCCGTTATTACCACGGTGCTAGACATGGAGGCGGCCAATGAAACATGCTATGAACCCTCTCGCAAGACGCCTGTCCAGAAAAATCATGACTTGCATGTGCCCACCTCATCCAATTGCGGCCGAGGCAGGGCAGGCATCCCCTGTAGCACCCTTGCAAGCCCGCTCGAAGTACTCGCGATGGGGTCTCTGTCCCTCTCGCACAGTATTGGCGTTGCTGACTTGTCGGCTGCCTACGGTGGTGCTTTCCCTATCTGCTGCCCTACCTGTGATCAAAATAGACGTCCCTGGAAAACTACAGAATATCGTAGATAGCAAGAGCACACTGTCCCGAGATCGCCCGCCTTGACTTGCCACGCCGTAAGCTGTGCGTGAAGCAACCGAATCAGGCGGAGGAGCCGCACACAAAAGACCTCGCGAACGAACGCATTGACACATCGAGTCAATGGGAATCAATCTCACAATCGGTACCCTGTCCTCGCATGGAGGGGGGCGACGGTTGGAGACAATGGGCCCCCCTCCTTGCAGCCACCCTAATGTGGAGGAACCCCTTCCGGGACGCACACCCCGGCTGCAGCCAGCTGCCCGTGTGGTTCGCCATAATTGGCTACGTAAGTCGAGTTGCTGGGGTAGCAGGCGAGGGAACTGGCAGAATTTCATCATGTCTGCTAATAGATTTTTGCTAGAGCCGGAATCGCAGACGTCGTCTTTGCTTAAATTCGAGCCGTTGCGTTCGACTTCTCCTTCTGCAAGGTTAAAAAACCGGTACCCTCGTGACCAGCACCCATTGGACGCAGCATTGTGTGCTCAGCTCACCTGCCGCTCACCTGCCGCTCACTCTTTCTTTTCTTTTTCCTTCCTCCTCAGCACACGCAAAGTCATCTTCCCGGTGGCTGCGATTTTGTTTTGGTTTTCGAATTGTCATTTGAGCCGGCCAAGAGCTTCATCTTTCGACCTTCTTCAACTTTTTCTCGGCGCATGGTGATTATTCCCTTGCACGTTCTTCGTAAAACCGACGGAATTGAAACTCTGCCGCTACCTCTGGTCAATCCGACACCCCTGCCCAGTGCTGCCGGCTGTCGAGTGATTTGAGCGCCGCCGCGGACCCAACATTTGCTCGCGACTCTTGATATCCAGACTGCAATCAATTGGTGATCAACGTCTTTCTCGCCACACACAACGATGGAAATTGCCACGATGGAGACCGGCTTCGTATTCCCCGAACATGGCCAAGTCATTGACATCAATGGCAGCAAGATGTCCATGAACTTGAAGGCCGCTGTCGAGAAGGAATTCCTCTACATCAAGAAGGGCGGCGAAAAGCCGACTATGCCTGACGAGCTGTTGTATACCGATATCGGATTGAACCTGTGGAAAGACATTATCCATCACGAGAGCTTCTACCAAACACACGACGAAGCAAAGCTTTTTGATATTAATGGCGCTGAGATTGTGTCCCGTCTGCGACCTGGCGTCGTCATGATCGATCTCGGGGCAGGGTAAGTACAATGCGCACAGGCCTTTATTCAGCCTAATATAGGATGAGTTGGCGATGGCTAACAAATTTTGCTCGCTAGAGATACTGAGAAGGTTGAGCACTTGCTGGCAGCTTTTGAAAAGGCGCGGGTCCCGTGCACGTATCTTGCTCTCGATATTTCTAAAAAATCACTTGATGAGAACATCAAATTTCTCGAGTCGAAGCATTCAGGCCCTGATTGTGTCGTCAGATGCGCTGGCCTTTGGGGTACATTCGAAGATGGGAAGCATTGGGTTCAGAACATCCAAGGACAGCGTCTGTTTCTGTCACTGGGCTCAGTGCTTTGCAACGACCCTTACTTTGAAGCGCTGACGAAGCTCAAGTCATGGGCGAGTGTTATGCGTGAGGATGATTTGACTCTCATCGGCATGGATGGACACCTGCATCCCAAGGACGAGAAGAAGATCTGGAAGGCTTATCATTCAACAGACGACCTTTACCGCAAGTTCTTCTTCGACAACGGGTTTGCCCATGCGAACAAGGCCGTTGGAGAGACTTGGTTCAGAGAACAGGACTGGGAGCTCAAGGCAGAGCTTGAGGACTACCCAACAACCAGGCACCGCTTTTACTTCCGGGCCAGGCACACATTCAACCTCGGCTCCACCGATCGCCAGATCCAGGAGGGCGAGGAGTTCGACTGGTTCGACTCTCACAAGTATGGACAAAGCCAGGTTGAGACTATGTTTGAGAAGTCTGGGTTGATTGCCACCAACATTTGGCAAGCCCCAGACTCCGAATTCCGTGAGAACAGCCCAAGTCCCCAAATTTGCAAAAATGAATCATACTAACGACTTCTGCCAAGGTCAATACCTTGTCAAGCTCAAGGATGACCATGACCAGAGAGGCGACGCTGACAGCGCCGTATCTGGCGTCAACTGATTTGCTGCGATTGATTCTGCAAGGTCATCTTTTGATTTCGATTTGATTGAGCTGAAGTGGCACCCAGTTATAGCCACGATGGATTCGATTGATTTTCCCAGGGTTATACACATTCGGTTGGCGACCGGCGCTGATTAAAAAGTATAGAGGTGTTTCTACATTTGTTGCTAGGTCAAGCATAGCGTTTCCGGTTCCTTTTCACGCACTAGGGAAACAAGCTTCTCCCACCAGTGATCCCTGGCACTGACGGAGTCAGGGGTGTTTTTGTTGTTGTCTAGAGGAAGGTCGCAGTCAATCCAAGTCCAAATTCGCTGGAGAACAAGGAACAGGGGTGGTACGCTCTGATCGTACATGGTCAGCCAGGTTCGATTATTAGGGGTAATTCTTAATTAAATCACTCACGCTCCTTACAGGCGTTCTCACGACGCTGCTGAACCACTTCTGTGACACTTCTTTGTGCATGGGGACTGTCGCTAGTAATCCAAGCAAGAACACGGGGAAAAGAGGAGCTTGGGCGGTGAAGTTCGATCCAGATGTGGGCATTATGCGGATGCACCGGGCCAATGAATCCAGGTTGGCGATGACGTCAGGGTGATTTCGAGGGAGCCTATTTTCTCATGGTTAGAACAAACTCAGCAGGGTGTAATACTCATGTCGTCTCACCTCAGGCCTCGACATTGTAGGTACACGATAACGGCGATTCTCCATGTTTCCGCTGTGACGTCAGTCATATCTGCGCTGGTGTTGATGGTGAAGCCATCGGGCTGTTGTTGCACCCAGACGATTGTCTGATACCCTTTTTTTGCCATGTCCCATGAACGGGACTCACTGCTCCATTGTCTCATATCTTGGAGCTCGTTTAACAGAAACTTTATGGTCATTGGCGTAATGGGGCTCTCCGGCTCTTGCTGGAGCCGGGCTGCGCAATAAGTAATTTGGCTGACGACGTGAAGCAGCTTTTTCGAGAACCCACAACCGCCATGTATCTCGTACATCTCTTTCTCTGTACCGTATAACAACCATCCGAACCTAGAGGATTCCTTCTGAGGATCAAGCTCATGAGGTGAGATGAGCGGCGTCATAGGCTGGGCGAGAATCACAGCCCGACCGACCATGATGGACTGAGCAATTCGGAGCGAGTCCAGCTGAATATTATCTGGATTCCAAAATCTCGTCCCTGGATCTATACGCTGCAAAGCATTCTCGGCTTCGAGGAAGCCAAGAAGCCAGCGAGGGCGTTCAGGCTTTAGGGCACGACGCTCGGTCAAAACGATCTACAGCACAAATTATCGTTAGTTTTGATAGTAAGAACAATGCGAGAATAAGTGAGGACATGGCTGACATCTTGCATGGAAAGAAGAGTGGTGATGGTGATGAGTTCCTGGGCCTTGTGCTCGTCTCCCGCTGCTTCAGGGTCGTTAAGCAATTCCGTCATTCGATTTTCCGCTACCGCGAAAAGGAAGTTGACTCGTTTAATAATTTTCTCCGATGGAACGTAGTCGTAAATGTATACACCGGCTAGACTTTGCATGGCAGCGCGTACACCTTCGCATGCATGCATTGAGCCAAAGTCCTTCAGCCAAAGGTTTGTTTTCTTCAGAACACTCCTTCCAGGACACCAATTCTTAATATCTAGTGGCCATTGGTGTCAGATGAGATCAAGGCTGCAAAGAGGATAAAAAGTTAGTCAACTTACAAAACTGCCAAAACCGCCTGTCCATGCGATCGTCAACCTTGGCCTCATACCCAAACTGAGGCGGAAGCATCTGGGGCCCATCTTGGTAGTGAATGACCGAGGTGCTGCTGATAGGGGAAGATCCCTGTGAATCTAACGAGGGAGTACTGGTTCCTGAATAGTCCATACCGATCGGTGAAAGGTCGCCCATGTTCGTTGGAGATGGTGAAGTCTCTATTTTGACGCCCACGTTGGTGGCTAGTGGTGTCAAGGCGGCATAATAATGAATAGCCGGCATAGGAGGTGTAGTCGAAGACTTGATTGGCGGCGATAAATTCAAGGGGACCGTCTCGCCGTTCGGGAGTACCTTAGCCGTGATCACCCCCGGTTGGGAGTCTTTGCCCCACGCGAACTTGATATATCCATTCACGAAACCTTCAGGGGGGCGGGCTATATACTGGGTAGGGAAAGTGCCAAAAGTTTCCAAGCAGTCATAAAAAGGACTACGAATGAGAGCAAGAGGGCCGATCATTGGCGAAGTCTCGACTTTCTCCTTGGACGGAAGATGGCAGTTCATAGGTATGGCCCCGGTATTTGGGATAGGTACCATGCCCTGAGGCGGGAATCCGTTGTGAAAGATATCTGGAGTTCCATCTGGGCGGAGTAAAGGAGACGTCACAGTTGATGACAGTGCTGGGTCGGGTGAAGCTGAATGAGGTGTCAGCTTACGAGCTTGAAAGGGGAGCATGGTTTACTGGGGTGACACCACGGATGGTGAAGGGGGAATGTGCACAGGGTTGGCATCTTGACAACTCGACAGTGGGATAAACAAGCACAATGAGGAGGAGACGATGAATAAGCCAAGGGTAAGGAAGTGGCGTGCTGGTGGTGCTAAACAACATGAATAGAGGGGCTCAAGTGGACCGATGCGTCTGGATATACTGACCGAGGGACAATGGTGGGAGGGGTATATTCCAACCCTCCTGTGTTTCATTAGATTGAGGAGCATAAGAGATCGGGAATCCGCCTGGGGGAGACATCCAAGGCCATCTGTTGTCGATGGGCAAGGGCCCCGCGGCGACTGCCGCAATGGCATCCTGTTGTGACCGTATGAGTATGCCGTTGGGAAGAGCCAGATCTTGCGCCGCCGGGATGGGTTGGGGTCCGTCATGGAGTGCAGCAACGGGAGGGTGCGCAAAGGGCTGTGATGATTTAAAACGCTTCACAGGGCGTTCTGAATCTGAAGAGTACCCCATGGTAACAGGCGGCTACCGCATCTTCTCACCGACAGTTCCAAACGTCGTCTCTGCCTCGGTTCGTGGCCAACTCCGGGCTTTGCTAGTACGCAACTACCTGAAGTATTTGGCACTGGAGCTCCAGTACCCGGCAGTCGCAAACAGCAATAGCCTGATCAGCGTCCAACAGGTACGGCTTGCAGGGTTCTCAGCGGCAGTCCTCGCTCCAAACACGGGGTGGCTGGGCCCAGGCAGGTAGGCAGGTAGATGCGGTTGGTGACGGGTAGTGAGTCAGTCAGATCTGGAACATGGACAGGATCAGCACCTGCGAGTTGCCCAGCTTGGGTGACTCTCTCGACGTGTCTTAGTGAGAGTGGTTAGCCGTCTTGAACCCTGGATGGCTTGCTTGGGGACAAAAAAGACGCTGCGCTGCAATCCTCGCTGCAAGGTGGATCAGGGTCACCTACCTGCCGGGTACCTGGAGTGTGTGCAGCTGTGAGCAGAAGCTGTCGCCTGCACCTGCACGGTCACTCAGCACGAACGGACCAGCAGGACCAAAATAAAGTCGAGTAGCGTATGCGAGGCCCGGGCGGCACCTAAGGTAGCGACGGGAGGTACGCCTGTGCCCACCAATGGGTTGGTAGGGGATGAGGTACCTACCAGCTGGACGGCAACCAGCCGGTCTGTTATAGGGCCTGTTGGGGGCCACCTGGGGACTGTGGGGGCAGCAGCAGCAGCAGCGCAGGCAGGTGCTGTGACAGCCTGCACGGTAAAAAAGGCAGGTACCTAGGTTGGTAGGTGAGCTGTATGGAAGGCAGGGTACCTACCCAGGTAACCTTGGGTGGGCGCGGAGAAAAAAAAAGTGAGTGCGCAGGCGGTTGGGAGGTATTGACACGTCCAAAGTGCCAGACTACCCGGGTGCTTGGGCAGGTGGGACGCTTGGCCGGGTGTGTGTGAGGAAGGAGACAACAAGAGGGGTGAGACGAGTTGACGGGGGCAACGAATTCACGCGGCACGTATGTATGTAATGTACATAGAGTGTGTGTGGTGCAGAAAGTTGGGTAGGAAAGGAGAGAGGAAAGAAAAAAACCCCAGAGACAACCTTGGGAGGGGGGGAGAGAAGAGATGAGATTATGGTGGGACAGGCCGAATTGCCAGAACCTCTCTGTAAGGGAGCTGAGGCACGGCCAAGCAGGCAAACGAAGCAAGGAGAAACCGTTTAGTATCGGAGAAGAGAAACAACACAAACAGCGACTCGGAGTCAACACAAATTAGCAGACGGAACCACTTATTACATGAAGACCAGAAATCCGCTTAATTAGTAGAATTTGTTTTTGGAATCCATTGCTTGGGTGTAACGCTTGTGTGCTCATCAAGGAGGGAGGCTGCTTGCTTTGGTTCGGTTGGGTTCTTTTCTTTTGGCATCCTTGCCTCACTCCTAGTCCTCATCATCGTTCATGTTTGCTTTTTTGTACGGTCGCCTAGCGGCTTGTGGTTGGTTGCTCGACCCAACACATTATCGATGCATGGCCCAATTGCGACCGGTCGAGACATCGTCACGCCTCACGATGCCGGCATACCCTGGCCAGGTCCTATGGATCGGGTGGTTCCCAGCCAATCCAATTTCAGGGTGTAGATCTGCTCTCTACGCCGAGTATTTGCTTTTCCCATGTGGTCTGCTAATCAAACCCGACAGGCCAATGTGCGCCATTAGCCCTCCACCCTCTTGGCTCGAATTTGGTGCCATCACAGCGCCATTTAAAGTGTCCGAGCGACGCTTCGCGTGGTCACTTATCTAGCGAGCGGTCCGTGCCTCGCAAGCTGGCCGACCGGTGAGCTTTTTACCCACTTGCCAATACTTCATCGCGCATTTAGCGCCACCTCCCTCCAAAAGTACGTACCAACCCAGACCACTAATATCTCCTAGCGGCCACTAGCGTCATCAGCTGGCTGGCACGTGAGGCACCGAGGTCCATGCGATATTACGCTGCTCTCCAAGGTTAATAAATGGCCGACCTGATGGCTGGTAATATGCATGTTGATGTGTAGTGATACCTTCGGACGGTAATTGCACAAATAAGACAAAAAAC